GTTCCGAGAGGACACAGGGATTCAACAGAACATCTCGATTTCATCCTGCAATATACAGTACTCATCAGCTGGCCCCACAATTGCCAATAAACTCTCATCTCCTCCTCACACAATATCCTCCATGTCATCCTCGGACTTACACCCAACTTGTTGTTTCCCACCCGGGCTCCACTCGAGGACTTGACACTAGATGTCACCCAACAACCACCTCAACATGTGTCCAATCCATGTACACTTCCATCTACTTATTTGTTAGGCAACAGGTTCTTGGTTGGATCGTTCCCAGAGTACCTTGCTACCAATCCTTTCTGGTTCGTCGTCTTGTCTACAGTATTAAGCGAAAGCAACTGCTGATAAGAGTCTGCAGAATGTTAGAAAGGCTTCTAATGATGCGTGAACCAAGTCTCTAACCCATATAGAACAAATGAATTAACATTTATGTTAAAAATCCGAATTTCCTTTTTTTATTCTGAGTGCAGCAAACTTCCATAAATCTTAAGATCTCAGTAATTTTACAAAGAAGAGTTCAAAGATAACATGTCACTGAAGTTTATTGTTCTACTTTTTAGGGAAAAGTCAAGACCAAAGTATCAAGCATATAAATAAGTTATGGGAGTACAAAAAGGAAAAATAAGACCTTTGGTGGGTGGTGAATAGGAATATAAAGTCTACTTAAAAGAGAAACTACAAGTGTTGCTCAACACAGTTGTACTTTTACAATGATTAAATAAGTATCGAAGCAAAATATGCGACAAATTTTAGGTTGGTTTTGATTCCAAATTTTTCCAGTTATCTTTAATATTATTCTTTTGGGTTGCAAGTGGAACATAGGGCTTCAGAAGTACATCGCCATTTTGTTCTGTTCTTTGCATTCCTTTTTAGCTAACTCTAAGATTGCCTTCCATCTTCTCACAAGGTCTCATCTATGTCACTTTAGGGCGCTGAAAGCGTTGTTTTTTTCACTAGGGTTCCACTTGGAGGCCTGGCTGGTGATGTCACTCAATGTTTCCTCCAGCATATGCGTGACCCACTTCCATTTCTCCCTCCATATTTGTTAGGCAGTGGATTTTTGATTGGCATATTCCCACAATTCTTTGTTGCTAAACCTTTCTGGTTGACTGTCTAGTCTTTAGCATTGAGTAAAGGTAGCTTTTGATGAGGGTCTTCAGTAGCATTGGAAACCCTTCCATTGACGTGTGCAAGTCTTTGAACCATATAGAAATATTGATTAGATAATAGTGCTGGATATCTGGTTATTATTCCACATGATTTGTGCAGCAAATTATCATACTGACTTCAGATTAGTGAGGATCAGTCGTGCTTTTCTATGCCTGCCCGTAGTTAGAACGAGTTACCTAGAAAAGTGAAGGAGGTGAATTCCTCTAGATTTGTCTAGTTAGTGTTTATTGACGCTTGTTGTTGGCTGTTGGTTAGGTATCTTTATCACTTCCACCTTCTCTAATGCCCTCAAGAAATATTATGTTCGCTGCTCCTCTTGATAAGGTTCTGGTTTTCACCCGTAATTCTTCGAATGTATGTGGCGTTGGACATAAATCATTGGCGAAAATCAGGTCTTTTAGGGCCTCCTTATCTTTCATTAACAGTTGTCTTCGCTCAATACTCAAGATCAGATGACCGGCCAGAAAAGATCAGCAATAGAGATATCTGGGAGCGAACCAACCAGGAACTGATTGTGAAACAAATAGGCAGGAATAAATGGGGATGGATTGGCCATACTCTGAGGAAGCCATCAAGCCATTGCTCGAGTGGAAACCGAAAAGGAAGTGGCAAGTTGGTCTTCAGTGCGAGGGTGATTTGGAGGAGGTCATGTGAAGAGGAGGTGAAAACGTGAAGGCAGACTTGGAGCCAGGTGAAGACCCTAGCAGAGAACAGAACGCAATGGAGACGCACGGCTGAAGCCCTTTGTTCCTGTAGGAATTAAAGGAAACAATAATAATAATCTTTACAGTGTATTTCTTACTTCTCGCCCCTCCCCTCAGTCTCGTACATGATCCAGTCCACCACAAAAAGAAATATCACAGACTATAGTAGGCAGAAACTTTGTCTTACTCCTGCTTTCAATTCAAAGGCTTCACTAAACCTTCAGTTGTGAATCATCTGACATGTGGTATTGTCATATAGCTGCTGAATGAGTTCGATAAACATTTGAGGTACTTTGTAGTGTAAAAACAACTTCCAAATTACCCGAAGGTCAACGCCGTTGCAGTTAAAGAGACATATATATGTACAATATTTTTTTCATTAAGATGTTTCTCATGCTTTTCTATAATACACATCGCAGTTAGAAATATGAGTAGTGAAAATGTAGATGATTCAATAATCAAATTATGTCTAAATCGCTGAATATCAGAAGAAACATAATGCTAAACAGAGATAAAAGTGTTAAACAGCAAGAAACAGTTGAGTTTCTATTAGATATTTATTCACTGAATTTATCTAGACCAGTGGAATGACTAAGGTAGAATAAACTTCTTTCAAATACATAGACAATACTGATTCTCCAGAATTCCCGTTCAAAAAGTTCAATGGATTATGATAAATGACCCTTAAAGAGGTTATACAATCTACTTGGTGACAACATCCAACCAACTGCAATGATACTGTGCTTCTTAATGATTTTATTAGAGATTTTTTTAATCATAAAGTTCCATGAACATAAAAATTTATATAAGAATAAATCTTGTGCACTGTGGTAGAGTGTAATTCCATTATGGGTAAATTTTATTTTGATAAAGTCTCACAGTGTTATACAGTAATGTTTACTGATGACGTTTCGAGCACAATGTATTGCTCATAATCATATCAAGTTAATCACACGACTTCCTAAATTCATTTATATAGTTCCGTTGTTTTTCACTTGATTTTCACTTGATTTGATTGGTAGTAATATTTTCCATATTTCGGGTATGAGTGATGAATCATTTCTATTGTATAAGTTGGGTGTAGATTCGATGAACAAGGATTCAGTAATCAACCTCTCTCTCCACCTACCTAGATTACCTATTAGAATTTTAACCCACTTCCACCCTATTGTGTGGTTGTGTGCTAATGCATGCGGTGCAATTACTGAGCTTTTTTCTAAATTACTCATCTTTACGGGGTCCACCATTCTTACCTTCACTAAATTGTTATGTTCCAACAATCTGACTATCCCCGATCTACTAGTTTGACCTATGTAGTTGACCTCACAGTCATTGCAGGGTATTTTGTAAATTATATTATTTTGTCTAATTGGGTCCACTGGGTCCTTTAACCTACAGAGCTTGTCCCTGAGTGAGTTTGTAGGTTTAAATGCCACCCTAATTCCTGCTTTATTTAGAATCCTACGTAGGGTCTCGGATATCCCCTCTTTATATGGTATAACTGTAGATGACTTATATTCTCTCTTGTTTATGTTATTATTACTAGTTTCACAATTCGTTTTGTTTTTCTTTTGGCGTTTTTCAGTCTTCCTAATGAATATTAACGGATAGTTATTTAACACCAACGCCTCTTTTATCTGTTTTATTTCATCATTTAGGTCTTTTTTCTTGCTACTTAGTGCCATTACTCGGTCTGTTAAGCACTTAACTAAACATTACTGTATAACACTGTGAGACTTTATCAAATCAAAGTTTACCCATAATGGAACATAAAAATTGATCAGACTTATCCCAACGTATGCCTTTTCCACAAAATCACCTAAATTTGGAATTACGCAAAGAAGTGCAGCATGTGTATAATTTATCTTTCATCTGGTAACCAACAGTGAGGGTGGCAGTCACATTATAATTTCCTTTTATGGTTCTAGAAAGTCTTTGGTATCCAGCCTTTCTAAACATGTCTGAATTCAATTTCAATTTCATGAACAAATATTCCTTTTCAACAATGATTTTTCTACAGTTTTTGCATACTGCCCTCATATTTGCTTTGAAAATCTATTTGTTACTCATGCTTTTTCATGAGTCTTCTATTAAACCATCTCAATAGGTCATTTTTCCTTTACTTGTAAAGACTGTGACCAAACTAAATGAACACAAACTTTAAGAAATCAATCTTTTGACCTGTATAATCGACCTTCCCACATATTAGTTCTTCTGCTTCAGAAAAGTGTTGAATGGCATAACCAATCGCTCTGATATCAATCCACATAATTCCGATTCAATAATCAAATTGTATTTGTTTGATAATTTATATTTGTCAGTGGTGTGAGTGATAAAACCATCAGCTTCCAGTATGTAGTGATTAGATGTTGTTTTCACTTCAAACAAAATCTTTTGTTAAAATAAACTACTGCCTATCAAAGTTGAATGATGAGATAAAGAAACTAATTTTTTCTACGAAAAACTTCCAGCATTCATAAACATACAAGAGACTGAAAGTATATTTTATGGCAGCTAATCTAAACTCTGTCTTCATCTCTACTTCTTTAAACTTGAATAGATAAAATAAGATTTCTTTTAAACTATCAGTAGATTCTATTTTTGGAATAATTTATGTATACAAATGTCAGAATTTGAAAAATGTATACATCAATTAGAAAACTATTTGAAAACATGAAGTACTGGGCAGTTCTGTTGGTCTAGCTTGGAACTTTTCAGCGTAACAAACCCACTGGCATTTGGACCCAGGAACTTCCAGATACAATGCGCGCTTGTTGACCATTCAGACACTGGGACCTGGTCCAATGGCCAACGAATTCCAACGTCTGCCAATTCATGATATATAGCGCAGCCACCAGTTGGTATCATAGGCGAGTAACTGTTGTTCTCCTACCTGACTTTGTGGAACCTTCTGGGTACGACTTTTTAATAGAACTTCAGGTCCTAAGTTCGAACGGCTGAAAGGCCTCAAACTAGGATGGAAAGGCTGTCCAGTACTCCTTGGTTTTCCACTGGTTTTCTAACTGAAGTCATCTCCTGATAAAACCTATAGCCAATCGATCCCCGCAAACCAAAACTTCATAATATATATGTAAATGTATATGTACAAGAACTTACAAATATCCCGCCATATTCAGGACGTAAATTCAATGACTGCCACAATGACTGATCATATGCCAGGCGACGCCACATTTTGCATACACGTGCAATATTGCATAATTCTGGATGAGTGAGATGTGAGAAAATTTGTAGCATAATTTTCTCTGGTAACCGCGTAATAAGAAACTACAAAAATAATTAGAAAACCAATATTTAGAAAATGTTAAATTACGCATGGTAAAATAATAAATGTGAATGACTATACTGTGAAATCTTGTTGTAAATGCATGTAATAAATGTAAATCAGAGATGTAGTGAGCGTTGATTGAGTCAGAAACGAAAATACGAGTAGTGACAGGGCTTGAACCAGTTTCCTACGTATTACAAATCTAGAGCCGTACCAACTGAATTTCAGTTCTCAACTGTTCCGGACTAGTAGTTCATCGGAGGTCTCCCAGTCATCACCCACTACACCAGTAACAGTCGGCCAACCTAAGTTATTCCACGTTATTGTGATTATTAGACATATTATACAGTGAAATAGTGTTATTTACTGGATGAAGCTTCGAATGCAATTTATTGTTCATAATCATACCAATTAACGTGTAAAACGTGTGCTAATATAATGATGAAGTTTTACAAACATTAATGTAACTCAAAATTATCTCAAATAGGAACGTCGATCTCAAAGGAGACTATACCTGCAATATCCTCAAGAGGAGAATTCCATCATCTCTGAGAACATCCCTACAACGCTAAGAGCATTGTTTCCAGCTGTTTACTGATCTGTAGAAGCCTGAAAGACGCGATTTCACATCTGGCCAATGCTGTTAGCATATATCGGTTCATCTTTTTCTGTGGAGCAAGGTATAACGTTCGTTCAACATGTATCTTGTCCAAGAATTCGATGAGAAGTGCAATCATTGAACATCTTGCTATTTTGTCTCAGCAAAATCTACCTTCAAAGTAATCCTCAAAGTGCGGAACAACATCCCAAATATAATTCACCTCCGTGTCCTCTACACTGATGAATCTTTGGCCACTAAGACAGAGAAACCAGAGCTCTGTATACAAAACAAAATTATTCAACCACTTCTACTGTTATGGTAACAGCTTTATTGTCTTCTAACAACTTGATCTTTTTTCAATAGTTCTTATTTTGAAATCCTACTTAATACCATATTTTTTTTTTCATTCCTGTATGCGTCCTGACTACAACTCATTAATTAAATTGAGCTAGTTAACTTATCTTGCAGTCCCAATACTCTTATTCAACTTCTCTCATGGATTGTTTAATATGAAAAACTATGGTTATTAACAACTCAGCACTTTTGTTACTACCCTGTCTCATGAAAAATTGTTAATTAGTGCAATTGTACAGCTAAGGAAGATAAATTATCCAAAATCAGTCTCTTTTCTGAAATATGTGTTCCGCTCTTTTCATTATCTAACATAATCTAACCATAAGATGTATATAACGATTTGCAATAAATTATGGATCTTCTGGACTTAAGTGTTCTTTTTTAATTATCACAGTAGAAGTTAGAATTCATTGGCCATGAAATCGGGTCCCAAAGGCTGAATAGTATACGAGCTCGCCTTGTAACCGAAAGGTCCTGGGTAAAAACCTCAATTGATGCGTACTGCAGATAATTTCCAAACTAGGATGAAGCAGCTATCCAAAACTCCCTGGTTTTCAAAGGTTATTTAACTGATATCAATCCGTGATCAACTCGTAAAAACAGATCTAATCCTTACAAACCAACTATAGAAAAGTAATTTAATCATTAAAGATTACTCTCCAACAAAGCACAAGTTTCACCTCTCATAAATAATAAAATGGAACATTCTGCTTAGAATTTTGCTGTTTTTTTAAAAAATTAACGTCTTTAAAGAAACTTCCTGTTAGTGTAACCCAGTTAAATATAATGCTTATTGTATGCAGAGGAAAAAGCTGGGTAAAAATACATTCAAATGCCTGTTCAACTAAATCATTTGACAGCTGACTATTGACGAATCATGTTTACAGTTTGCGAATTATTTTCACTTTACACAGTTCGAAGAGGTGACATTTTACCACAGTTTCCTGTGAAAACCAAAATTAATCAGACTGCGATATGTGATCTCCTAAATACCACGTAATGAATGACCAGTTCGCCCATGTAGCTAGCCAGGAATCCAGTCGATTGAAATGATTCGACTCTCTGAGCTGAGTCAAACTGGCTGCACCGCTGATGAGCTCGGTCCCAAGTGAGCAAAATGGTCGTCACTTCGATCTAGTTGACCAGCAACCACTACTGGTTTATGTGAGTGTTATGCAAATGCTCATTTCAGTCAATCAGTAGCACATAGTTTTATGATTATCGATGACTCTGAACACTTACTTTCCCTAAAGAAACATATAGCTACGACTAGGAGTGTTCCCCTTGTGAAAATAAGCAATTAAAACACTTTTGCTGGTATCGTACTTAGGTTAAAAACCATTTATGTGAAAATATTAGTTACAGATAAGTTAATGATAATGACATAACAGTAAGGATGGTTTATTCATTAATTGATAACTCAGAACAGTTCGGTGACCAATATATTGCATATAATACAAGCGAATGCATTAATTTTTGAGCTCTGAGTACATGAAGTCTTCTTCTTTGCAAGCATACAGGTTCATAGATAACACCGAGGAATTTATTCAGTATCTTACTGTAAAATCCCCTGGATGACAATATATATATATATATATATATATATAAAGTAAAAACTCATTGGTTTTGCACATGTGTCAATTTGTAGAAATATTAATTATCTATCTACACACGATCATAGGCTTACAAAGAAAACCGAGGCACTTCAGATAGTGAAACCTGAAGTAATCGCAAACAATTACTACTCGCAAAAGTATTTTAGAATATTCAAATAACCTGTGGTGTTTAAAATGAAACTTAAAATGTTACTCAACTGAGCAAATTACTCAATGCACCATATATTTCAAAGTCTTCAAAGTAGTTTGAAATAAAGCCAATGTAGATGAATACATGGTGAAGGTGATTTGACTGAGATCTCACTTTAGAGCCACTTAGGTGAGTTCCGAGTCAAACACGCCTATTCAGTAGCTCATCTACATTACATCCTCTCCTTCGCAGCACTCTTTAGATGGTTCTACGATTCCCTATAAGCTCTCATCCCCCCTTCACACGATCTTCTTCAAATCACTCTCAGATGTTCAACTTGTCTTTTTCCATTCAGGTTCTATTCGAGGACCTGGTGTTTAATGTCACTCGACGATCCTCTCGGCGTGTATCCGATCACCTCCGATTTTTCTACATATTTAGTAGGCAATAGGTTTTTCATTGGTTTGTTCCAATAGTATCCTTGTTGCTTACTTTTTCTAACCACCCCTCTGATCTTAAGAATAGAGTGAAGGCATCTATTGATAAAAGTCTACAGACCGTTAGAAAAAGTTTTGATGACGCGTAAGCCTATTTTCTGATGTATATCGAAGAACTAAATTACCACTATTGTTAAAAATCCGAATTTCGTTCTTTATGTTGAGTGCAACAGATTTCCTTTCCATTCCTGACTAGCGCTGACATCTTCATTTGTACCGCCAATGCTGCCTAGATTGGTGAAAGAAGTAACCTCCTTCAAATTTCTCCCGCTGATAGCGATTAGTGCCTGTTGTTGCTGGTTATTTATCTTCATCATCTCTGTCCTCTCTATGTTCCCCTGGAATCCTGTTCTCACTTCTTCTTCTCCTAAATTGTATGTTTTTGCCTTCAGGTCTAATACTAATAGTATAAGCTTGTAATCTGGAACTAAATAGTAAGTTTTAATAACCCGCATAAAAAGCACAGAATATTAAACACATTTGCCTGAATACTGAGACTGAATAGCTCAGTAGTAACGTCTCTGACTGCAGCACTGGGTGATGTGGGTTGGAATCTCAGAAGGGGAATGAGCTCCTTCAAGGTTGCAGATACGCCTTTCTTACTGGTGACTACCAACTGGCACGAAACCTAGGTCCAAGGCATCCTGACGATTGCCTCCAACCATCTTATATGACTACACAATCAGAAGGCAATGACAAATAAAATCTATATCACACTTAAGAATAATTCAAAAATCGCTTAGGCCATCGTCTTGTGTTATCATTGTCATTTGAACAGTAACACTTAATGCATGCAATAAGACGACTTGCTTTCGAAGTCTTGAGATGTATAAAACAACAGCCTCAAATATAACCAGTCAGCTGACCAATATTTTAAACAATAAGCAATTAAATATCAACTTGAATATCTACGTTACCACAATTGTAAATCAATCTACTTCATATTCAACTATTGGTTTGTAGGAATTTGATCGGTTACAGGATTTCATCATGAGCTGAGATTGGTTAGAGAACCATTGGGAAACCTGGGGATACTGGACAGCTGTTTCGTCCTAGTTTGCGACTCTTCAGCTCTTCGTGACCAGTAGGGTGCAGCAGGTCGGGTGTGAGGACAAATACTCGCCGAAGACGTTGGCTAGTGGTCGCGCTATGTCGTGAATTCACGGAAGTTAGAATTCATGGGCCATTGGATCTGATCCCAGTGGCTTAATGGTCTACGAGCTCGTTAGCCTTGTAACCAGAAGGTCCTGGGTTTGAATCCCGGTGGGTGTGTACCGATGAAGAGCCCCAAACTAGGACGAAACGACTGTCCAATACTCCAGCTGGTTTTCCAATGGTTCCCTTACCAATGTCAGCTCATGATGAAATCCTGTGACCAATCTACTTCATGCTCTCCAGTAAAGTGACATATAAATCCAAAATATATTATACATGAAATATATAATAAAAATAAATTATCCTACAAATCATGTAATTTCATGAATTTAAAAAAAAGTGACATACATCTTCGTTAAATACAGAAGCTCTACGAAAATTCGATGCTCTTCTCACATCTCTTACAACATCCATAATCGATTTAGAAGCCATTATATTTTGAGAAGATAAGGCAGTTTAATGCTTAGAAAAGCTCAGGAAGAAAATCCACAATCATCTGTCTTTTCTTAGTGTTAATCAAAGCAACAAAACAAAACAAAAAACCTTTTAGCCTGTATTCACACTTTAGGAAACTGGGATAATCTCCTTAGTTTAAGGTAATATCGAAGTCGAATGTGATTGGTTGAATTAATTCTTTAAACTATAC